TCCATCTATTTGAATGCAGCCCATACATTTGTATGGAGCTCATGCATTTGAATGCAGCTCATACATTCGAATGCAGCTCATACATTTGAATGCAGCTCATACATTTGAATGCACCCCATACATTTGAATGTAGCCCATATATTTTTATGGGACCTACATAAGCTGAATGCAGGCATCAAAATGGCCGCCACACCTGAAAAATTTGGGCATAGGTCTGTTGCTTTTTCCCGATTTTTGTATGATTTGTGTGATTTTCGGATTTTCCCTATGCCGGGCCCGCACTAGGCCGATGCTCTGACACCGACATGAAATCGGCCGACCGGCCACACAAAATACACACCCACACAAAATTGACAGAATTGCGTGCGCCAATCTTGAGGATTTTTCGTACGATTCCATAATCGGCTGAAAAATAGGCCCAGTGTGGACCAGGCACAGAGTGTTTTTAATACCCCAGTTATAATCTAAATTTCAAAGACTTGACGAGTTCAAAGTTTCCCTCCCCATTGACAGGTGTTCCGTTCCATTTTTGGGTCAGCAATGAGACCAGGATACCGGTATGCATAGGCGGCCACTTTGAAGCAACTCTGGAAAGCCAAAACTGCATGCAATTAAAATCGTGAAGGATTGTGGGCTCAACATATCCATGATCCATACTCATTGCTGACTCATTGCCTATTTCGAAATGATAAAGGGAGGGGAGAAGCTGCTGGCGACTCCATGACATGGCTGGCCTTCATTGATGTTCCAAGTTGTGCCTCCGATAACCTGTACAATTATGCCGGTGAATACAACTGCGAACTGAGAAGTAGTTTAGATAAAACATTAAAATCTAAATGCGCAGGGTGTGTCCGCCTGTGAAATACATGTATGCCATCACTACAACTGGGGGGGGGGGGGGTCAGGGGTATTCAAGTTTCGATCGGCAAATACAAGGCAGTCTGCAAATAATTCCCAAGATCGGGGGACGTTTCCGCTGCTGGATAAAGGCCTTTTTCTTTTCTTTCTTTTGAGAAAACTGAGCGGAGGCTTCGCACCATTGAGAAGTATAAAGTCTGCAGGTGCACATTCCCTGTACACTTGTGCCTAATTTTCACTGGGGTCCAATGGGGGGGGGGGGGGGGGGGCACCATCTGAAAGATTAGCAAGGATGTGGCAAGTGTGGACTTCGGAAATTGCTAGCATGCAAGAACTTAACATGGCAATGACTGTGCTAACCGAAAGTACATGAATCAAACGGGCTCAGAATATACTTTACCTTTTTGAGATCTGGGATGAAGGCAATGTCGCCTGTCGGTCCGCATCCAACCCAAACGATGCCGATATCGCCAGAGAGGCATAGCCGAGCACCAGTGGTAGTAATGTTAATGACATCCGCAGGCAAGAGACCGATGATGCCAGCAGCAGTATTGTGACACACAGGACGCGACCAGTCTTGTGATTGCTGGTGTAGACAACATCAGCATTAGCGTGATGGGTGATATGCCCGACATTTGAGGAACAAGCCACGCAGACAACTTGATAGAGAGGCAGCAGATCGAAGCCATAGTAATCAGGCAGTCGATGTCGGCGGCTGTGCGTTACAGGGTTGATTGTACATAGCTAGATGATGCCAGTAGTAGCAAAGCATCTGACATGAGCAGTAGTGAGGTGGCCAGCAACGGAAGTAGTGCGGTGCCCAGCGTCTCTAGTAGCTAGGTTGCTGGCATCGGTAGTAGCGAGGTGGCCTGCATCGGTAGTAGCGAGGTGGCCTGCATCGGTAGTAGCGAGGTGGCCGGCATCGGTAGTAGCGAGGTGGCCGGCATCGGTAGTAGCGAGGTGGCCGGCATCGGTAGTAGCGAGGTGGCCGGCATCGGTAGTAGCAAGGTGGCCGGCATCGGTAGTAGCGAGGTGGCAGGCACCGGTAGTAGCGAGGTGGCCGGCATCGGTAGTAGCGAGGTGGCCGGCATCAGTAGTAGCGAGGTGGCCGGCATCGGTAGTAGCGAGGTGACCGGCATCGGTAGTAGCGAGGTGGCCGGCATCGGTGCTAGCGAGGTGGCTGTTACCGGTTGCAGAGATTGAAATGATGGTGGCCGTGATGTTCTGCCTGGGCAGGTATGAAGCAAACAGTTACTGATTAGAACAGGGCACACTATAACAAGGTCATAACAGTTTGCACACACACAAGCAATTTCTGGTAAGCACAGTAGACAAAGAGGCGGCATGGCTTGAGATGTGCTCCAGACATGCAATCCAGCTACTACATGCAGCGCACTAGCCACAAACAAGTTGCAAGCTGTTCAAGCATTCACCAGCTACGGACAGGGGCATCAAACCGGTGCACGTGTAGCGAATACAAAGGGATAAAGAATGACTGTGCAGCAACAAACAGCTGGAAAATGACTGCAATTGGCATTGATTGCTCCATTTCAGAATTCATCCGTTTTGTATTAGCCACACATTCACCGACCCAACACACCTGCCAGTAGCAAGCAATTGCGTGTAAACCCTGCTCCACATCAGGAACCTTAGTACCCCATGCACATGTACAGCCGAGTAACATATCCAAAGCATATACTCTGACCATGTCCCCTTTACCTACTCTGAAAGTCAGGAATAGGAAATTGCAGCATACAAGAAACCAGATTGTAAAACGTACCAGGTAGTTGGCTTATACTTAGCCGTGTTGTGGTGAATCTCGGTCCTTTGGTCTGGCATATCTAGCTGCTGACCGGAAAAATGGAAAACATTACACAATGTATTAGAAACATACACCCATGTGACAGCGGCCATCGACGGCTATTGTCACATGGGGAACTAGCAAGCCAAAACAGCAGAATGCATACCCTAGCATTGCCTACATACGTACCACCCATTCATACGTTACCAGGGTGACGGGCGTTAGCGAGGCTGCCGTGGTGTCCGTAGAGTGCTTGATCCTACCTGAGTGGGAATGAATGAGCATGACACAATTGATTGGTTACATACACCCACACAACAGCAGCCTGTGACAGCCACTGTTGCATGGGGATAGTACAAGTAACGGACACGGATACTAAACAACATGGTGTTGCACAATACACCAGGCATGCAGTACACAAAAACATATTTACCAATGGTAGGTCCGATGACTTGATGTCGCAGCTCTGGTTGGTCGTAGCGCTGGTTGGATGTAGAAGAGATGACCTACAGGGCTTTTACCTTGCCCTGATCTATGCCTAACTTAGAGTATGAGTATACTAGAATTTTGAGTGAGAAAAAATGAAATAGAATGTGAATATTGTATGGTATGAAGGTCAAATATTGTTCAGTGTTTGTTGTGGTTCATCGTCCGCTTGGTTCCAGCCGCCAGTTGCCGCCATTGCTTGACTGTTGCACTAATTATTGGCCAAGTGTGTGCCACTCCACCTCGCTCCCCGCCGGCCACATTGTGTAGTACTCGCTGAGTGTGCAATAGTGTACTGGTCCCTGAGGTGTGTGTGGGAACAGACATGCAAGTGTGGAAATAGTAAGATTGATATGACTGTAGAATGACTACTACATGCAACGGTACACTTCAGTGCTACCACCAACAAATGAATCCATGACACGTTCTGCCAAACATGACTTGGTATCATGCAAGAAAGACAATACACTGAGTGCTACTAGGGAAGGGAGTGTGATACCACAGATCATATAGGCCATGGGTTGTGATGTCATAATATACAATAGACTAATACCTCGGATTCATAAAATCCACTGATCAATAGCAGAGATTGCCTTTCGTGAGTGTTGCCGTTTATTTTGCGTTAGCGTTATGGTTGGTATTCCTCTTCAGAGCAGATCAGGAAATTTGAAATGTTTTCGATTTGAATAACAGAAAATTTCCATGTGTTCATCAAAATACAGTATGCTTTCCGTTGCGACCCATTTTGAGGTAAAGTTTTGAGGTAAAGTTTTGAGGTAAAGTTTTGAGGTAAAGTTTTGCCGCGACTCGCAAGCAGTCATGGAGTCGCCAGCAAGCTTGTTCCACCCCCCCCCCCCCCTCCCCTCCCTGCTTAAATCCTTCCCTGAGCACCGGGGAATGGAACGGAACACCTGTCATTTTGTGGCAGCTACATAGCAGCAAGAAAATCTTGCTGCAATGAAGTGCCCCCTCCCAAGTTTTCCAGGAATAAACGAAATCATAAAGTGAAGCATAACGGTGAGTTAGATGGTAGATGACGGGCCTGGAACAAAAAACGGACAAAAGGGAGACAGGCCATATATATGATATCAGGTGAAGTTTGCAGGAAGTAATCTCAAAAAAAATCCTAAAAGGCACCAGTTATCAGGATTCCCAATCATATTACTTGCTCAAAGCCGTGTAGGGTGAATCCTCTCTATGGCTTCTTTCGTTGCTAAAACAATGAAAACACTTGAACTGCACATCCTTCATTGTTGGACTCAGGCAGCTAATGTTTGTATCTGAAGGTACAATGAAGTCTAGACCAGGGGTATGATTTTTCTTGCTGATATGATCCGAAGAGCAGAGTTGCCCATTCAGAACCTAGTATAATGAAAGGGTAAGCCTTGGGATTTACAGTCTAAGTTTGGCCCAAATTGAGATTTCCAAGCTCCAACAGTGAATATTTACCGAGGGGACTGTCAAGTACACAATGGCCCATAGTTGAGAATTTTGAAGGAGCCCAAATGGATACTTATCACGACACCGCAACAGATCATGTTTCCCAGTCTCCACAGGTTGTCCATGGCAAACTCAACTGGGCACACACAAGAAACAGGGACACCAAACTGGATCCTCAGGGGAAGCTATTCGATAGATACGTGTAAGCTATCGTACACCTTGGTCAACCTTGGCGATTCACAATCATTGATCAGCTGTTCCACTGGTCGCACGGATGTCCAGAATTCACATCGCCCATTGTCTCAAACTTGCCATTCGACATCCATAATCATCATTTCTCACAAGACGGCTTAGTTATATGGTAGTACAATGAAGGTGAGCATGTTAAATGCCATGTTTGTATGCTTGCCTTTCACGAACAAGGTGTACAGCAGCCAAGTTCTTGAGGAAGAAGCCTTGCTCCAGAATAATTCCCAGTGAAATAATTCTGAACTTGTTCGCTGTGCTTGTCCTGGTGGCTGGTGAGCAGACTGGCTAGCCATGATGGTCATGGGTAGCAGCGTCCAGTGCGGACTAGTGCTTTATGGAGAATCCACGATGATCCGACATCTGAATGCACATTCCTCAGGGGTTGAACTAAACGAAACGCAACAAAACAAACAAAAAAAGACAATGTGTATCACCAGTGGCATGCACCGAGTCTTGAAAGGGGGATTTCTAGAGTTGGTAATTTTTTTCTGGAGACCCACTGTATAATTATGTATTTGTGCACATGCACATCCCCCGAACATCCCGTCGGAGATAACGGCGAGGGCTAGGGAGGAGGGGGGGGGGGGACTCAAGATCAGGGGTGCAGGGCACCAATGAACACTGGTGCTGATGAGATGCGGGGCTCATCCGACTGCTATCATCAGATTATGCCGGCACAAACGCGTCTGAGAGGGAACCAGGTCCACGGGTAGAAAGGACAGAAAATTAATAAGAGTAATGAGGAATGGAGGGAGGGGACGATGTTACATAGAAATGTTGCTACATGTATAACCGGTAGCAGGATAAAACGGGTACGGGTTACCTTTTACATACCAGCACTTCAAACAGTATTTGCAAAGAGGGCGCAGAAGTCAATGTACTCATACCGTATTTTACCGGTTGTAAGTCGACCCCGGTTATAGGTCGACCCCCGTATCCGGAGGTCTCATTTCTGCGTTTTAAAGTTTTCACCCAACGAAGCACTACCAACCACTCCCTGCTACTAACACCTCAACAAATCATGTAAACATTCCTTATTGGAGGGTATAACGTCCCAATCCTTGAAAAAGGCCAATAAACTGGCAAACATGTGTACACATGGTACACTCGTGCATGCAGGGCAAGTCATTTTTTGTAAGATTCTGATAGTTCCCGGTTATAAGTCGAATCCCGGTTGTAAGTCGACCCCCACCCTTTCTCCTTCTATTTTTAGTCGTAAAAGGTCGACTTACAACCGGAAAAATACGGTACATGTTTGTCATATTGAACACGTAAAAGTTTGATAGGCCTAGCCGCCCAGGCTACACTACAGTCTATAACACTACGTCTATCAGACTATGGTACTTCACTAGTCCACTCCAGGCATGTTCGTTTCATCAAAACACTGCCTAGGCGAGACCAAAATAAAATCGAGATTCCCGGGCAGGACCCATCTGAAATTGGTGCGGGCGGGCGGATTTTTATTTTTTTCCTATGTGTGTATGCATGGCATGCTGAACTCTTTTTTGTGCAGTATTTTCCGGTATTTTTTTAATTTTTTTTACAGACGACAGGTACATTGTACATGGCACGTGGTTTACCGGTACCCATACAATTTCTTTTGTATTTCGGCAAACGACAGCTCTGAGTCGTACACCAGGGAGTCGTACAAGCCCAGGTTTATACATACATGTATACCGTATTTTTCCGGTTGTAAGTCGACCTTTTACGACTAAAAATAGAAGGAGAAAGGGTGGGGGTCGACTTACAACCGGGATTCGACTTATAACCGGGAACTATCAGAATCTTACAAAAAATGACTTGCCCTGCATGCACGAGTGTACAATGTGTACACATGTTTGCCAGTTTATTGGCCTTTTTCAAGGATTGGGACGTTATACCCTCCAATAAGGAATGTTTACATGATTTGTTGAGGTGTAAGTAGCAGGGAGTGGTTGGTAGTGCTTCGTTGGGTGAAAACTTTAAAACGCAGAAATGAGACCTCCGGATACGGGGGTCGACCTATAACCGGGGTCGACTTACAACCGGTAAAATACGGTATATGCGTCCTCGCCTTGTAACATGCTGTCAAAATCGAAAGCCCAGGTTTGTGTGACACCATGTCACAGATGTACTCGATCAGTACTGTACATAATACGAACTGTTAAAAATAAAAAATTGCCTTCGGCTCGATTTTGGTGCGGGAAGGCCCAGGAATCTCTTTTTTTTTGGTCTCACCTTACATTCGACGTATCTTTCTTTCTGTTCTTATGACGACGTTTTTTGCATGCATTGACAATAGTGCTGAAACGATTACGTTTTTTCCTTAGTGGCTCAGCTGATACCATAACGATCGGCTTATCGGCTAAACGATTATTATTGTGACCACATCAGTACGTGTACATTCTGTGAATTTCAAAAAAATTACGAGTCTAACATCGCCAACGACGGAAAGCGGGCGCATAGATCCGATGATCCCACAACAAGTCCGTCAGCTGCTCGGACTGACCAGACGAACACAGACAAGACAGAGGCAACGCACTGGTTGCAACCCAAGAGCTGATGGTGCCCTTCGCCTGTGACTTCGCTGACTCTGACAATGAAGTCAGAGAAGCCGGCCAGTGGTGCAGATCGGCGGATTTCGATGGATGAGCCGACTTGAGGTGCGCCAACAAGTATCTACTAGTAGTTGCTTTTCCTGTCTATGCTCAAAAGAGGCCCAGACGCCAGGCCTAGCTCGTCGTCGAGCAAACTGGTTCGGGAACCATCGACAGAACGGAAAAACGAAACTGAAGACCATGTACCACTTGTCTTTACTGTCTTTAGCGCAAGACTAGTACTATACTCGCACGTAGAGGGAACTCTAGCCCCTACAGCTAGCTAGTGTAGACACATACTGAGCCTGAATATGTAAATGACTGCATACAAGACCATCACAAGATTTCTCAACGCAGACCCGGTAAAGTACATCTTTGACCGGGCCAACACGCCCGACTATACCGTCATCATATTCCGCGACCTTGGAGGGCAGCAAGTCTACCAATCCGTGCAGCCCCTCTTCATGGCCAAAAACACAACCTTTATTGCCACATACAACTCTTCTCTGGACCTTCTAGAGACCCTTCCCAAGCTTGATGAATTTCAGGTCAGCCGGGAAGAATGTATCGAGCGGGCCACTCTTCCGGCCAATGCGACTCGCCTAGACCAGCTGCTCGGCTGGCTCGACATGCTGCTGCTGAATGCGAAAGCTGACAGCAGCACAGACCAGAGTGCTGCAGATGATGTGTTTGTAGTGGGGTGTCAGAGTGACAGGTGGAACAAAACCGATTTGCCTGATCCTTGTAAACTACTTCAAGAGAATAGAAGGTTCAGTGTATAAGAACCTTGTCTGGAACGAAACATCGTACTTCAAAATTGACAACACCAGATCCACTGGAAGTGCAGCACAAGCAGATGAGCTGCAGCGATTGAGAGAGGCCATCATCGACCCCTGCCAGAAGAGCCAACGCAACATCCCTGTTCCATGGCTCCGATTCTGCATATCCATACACACGCTCAAGCAGGAGGTCACGTGGCCTTGGATTTCCTTCAAGGAGGCAAAGTTCATAGCGAAGCAAGTCAAGGCTGTTCCACATGACTGCAGTGACCGGCAAATACAGCTGCTGCTGAAGTACTGCCACGAAGCAGGCCACCTGGCGTACTTCCCAACTTTCAAGCTGAAAGACACGGTCATCCTGGAGCCCCAGTTCATCCTGGACTGTGTCAATGCCTTTGTCTACATGAAGCCTGACCGAGACATCACAGTGCACGAAGCGCGGTGCTATCGTTCTGGGTTCATGACGGAGTTTCAAGCACGCAAAGCTCTCAACAAGATGTTCGGGGGTCAGTCTTACTGCGACCATGCTAAGGCGTGGCAAGCAGTCAGAGCAAGCAGTGATGGGTTCAAGCTCATTTTTGAAATCCTAGAATGGCTCTCCGTCCTGGTAATTGTGCAGGATGAGAGGTCTGCTGAGCACCAGTTTATTGTACCTGCAGTCGTCCGGGACATGGGCACGGACCCACAGCCGCCTTGTTCCTGTGCCTACGTGTCCTTGAAGCACTCACACCGCGATGAGTTGATGCACTTTCCCGTGTTCCTTTCCTCGCAGGTTTATAAAGAGGTCAAATACGTTGCCTTGGAGCTCACCAATCGGCCGCTTTCATTAACAAAGTGTTCAGGGTAATGGAAACACTGACAACACGCTGCCTGCACATTTAGTGAGGGGGTCTAACATCGCCAACGACGGAAAGCGGGCGCATAGATCCGATGATCCCACAACAAGTCTGTCAGCTGCTCGGACTGACCAGACGAACACAGACAAGACAGAGGCAACGCACTGGTTGCAACCCAAGAGCTGATGGTGCCCTTCGCCTGTGACTTCGCTGACTTTGACGATGAAGTCAGAGAAGCCGGCCAGTGGTGCAGATCGGCGGATTTCGATGGATGAGCCGACTTGAGGTGCGCCAACAAGTATCTACTAGTAGTTGCTTTTCCTGTCTATGCTCAAAAGAGGCCCAGACGCCAGGCCTAGCTCGTCGTCGAGCAAACTGGTTCGGGAACCGTCGACAGAACGGAAAACACGAAACTGAAGACCATGTACCACTTGTCTTTACCGTCTTTAGCGCAAGACTAGTACTATACTCGCACGTAGAGGGAACTCTAGCCCCTACAGCTAGCTAGTGTAGACACACACTGAGCCTGCCAGTCCTGCATGCTGTATGTAAGAAACGTACTAGTAGTCAGTTCAAAAGACGGCGACGGTGATCGCGTCGATGTGTCTCAGATCGCACTTGTACTTTTACACGTACATCGATGTTGCAAGTGTGCAGTCATTTACATATTCGTGCTGTACTCGCAACACTTTCGATGCATGCAGGCTTTGTGCAACCCCAAAAGGGGGGAAATCCCGTACCGAGCGTAAGTACCATTCTTCTCGTTCAGCTGATAAAATCGAAATAACCGTTCGATCTATTTCTTATCGAGTAAGTAACGAGTAATCGATATAATCGTTTCAGCACTAATTGACAATGTTCCACATGATTTCAATAAAGAGTTATGGACCTTGCTTCGATGGAAGCTCGCTGAAGAAAAGCGAAGCCCCGCGTCCTTGAGTCGCGGCCGGAGCAGCGCTTCGTTCTGAAGCAGCGCAAGTGGATCATGGACGCACATTTTTACGTCTTCCAGTCCACAACGTTTGTGACGAACATCTCTGCTGCGCACACGAGCGAGAACGAAAGGCTGTGGAGACCTTGATTTGAGTCAACAGTTTGCAAGGAGATATCGTCAATCATAATATGAGCCAGAGCACGCCAAAATATGACCACAGACCAAAAATTCGATTTTCAGTTTTTGTTCAAAAATGATCTAA